GTCATAGGGCCATCTCCCTTGCTATCTTTCTAAACCCTGTAATGAAGGTGGATTTTTGGTAACACACGATAGGTCTAAGAGAGTTAGAGCTAAGAAGGAGATATAAAAATGTTAGAAGTGGTGAATAGTAAAGAAGTGAGGATTTGAGTAATTCCAACACCCTTTTAGATTTCAAAAGGAACTTTCCAAGGAGATAGATAAAATCAAAAAAGAGAGGAATTTTAGAGAGTTAGAGCTTAAAAACACCAAAAACATTCTTTATAGAAAATCACTCCAATTCTAGCGTTTTGGAGATATTTAAAAAGATTAAGATATTTAGATTTAGAGATCTTTATAGGGTCATACCAATGGAGTGTTTCGTTAGAATGAGAGATAAAGAGAATATTGAAAATGAGATGTCTCCTTTACTACATCCTTTAGAGAGATGTATTTAGAAAGTGGTAGTAAACCATCCTTACCTACAAGATAGTTTATAAACAGAGATATTCAAATTTGGATGTCAAAAATGAGATATTCTCTCTGGTACTATCTACCATACAGAGATACAATGCAAGGTATAGCATGGAGTACAGAGTAATCTAGAAGAACCCTCTTTTCTTATTGTAGTTCAAGTTGTAAAGAGTTTCTTGGTATCTCTCTCTTACAAAATGAAAATCTCAATTTCTCACTTAAAAAGGGGGATGGCGTGGTGTGAGACTATCTTCTCATCTAAGAGTGAGTCCACTCCTCTCCTTTTAGATAATAAATTTGACCTTTATTTACCTAAATGATTAATATCCCACGATACTTCATCTCTTTTCTTTACCTAAATGACACAACCAACGCATAACATCCATCACATGTTGGTAATGCTCCTCTTTAAAACCCATCATTTTGAACCTCCTTGCATATCCAAGCTGAGTCATCACCCAGCTATAGTCATAGATCTCACTGAACTCTTTGTTGGTAATGGGAGATTCAAAGATTTGGTAAACCAGCGAAAAGATGTAAACTTGACCACTGGGAAGGTGGGATCAAAACAAAAGAAGTCCCTGGGCCCACATTCAAGAAAGGTTGGTGATAAGTCGCAATTCGAAGAATAAATTGAAACCCGGAATACCTAAATCTAACTCTTCCTTAAACGATAGTGGACAAGTCGTCCTCCACTTTGGTAACTACCTGGAGGCTCCTTCCAGTTTGCTCACAAGGATGTGGTCTAACATCAACATGCTGTTAAGCGTCTATTTTCACAGTGACCTAGAGCTTCCCTGAAGATCGATACCACTAAATACTACGATGTGGTAGTTATACTCATCTAGAAATTCATCCAATATCTTAAATTTCATTATATGGTGTGGAGAGTATCTCATGTTTTTTGAACATGCTATTGTACGATCCATCACTCTTTATAGTACATTCTCTTCTCCTCGATAGGAATTCCCTCAACCCCTCAATATCATTGACTGGGTTAAATGCACATCTTTTCATGTTCATAGGAGAGACTTTCTTGGGTGAGTTTATGGTGAGGACATTGAGTAGATTGTCAAATATTTGATTAAATACCAAAGGGACTGTCTTGTTTGTAAAGATTTTAAGCTTATCCACGAAACATACCTCTTACCACTGTACCATGGATTCTTTATTAAGCTATAATGGT